ACCTGAAGAGTTGGCACTGGTTCCCCAACTGCAGATCTGCTGGCTGACCGTTCCATAATTAGACATTCACTCTCACAATGGGTCATTGTTTTCTCTTGCTAAAAGCTCCACCGTTTGATACGAAGTGATTTGGGAATATAAAGATATGGGTGACGGAGTCGGTGCTTATTTTTTCATCATAACTGGTCGGAAGCGGCAATCCGCTTTCGATAACGATATGCTCGTATAACCACGGTGTTGTGTTCTTGAAAATTCCCGCAGCTGGGGTAAAATCGGGAAACGGTCTTGCGCTGGGATAGTTTCGAAGAGCACCTCTTTAGCCACTCCCGATGCTGGACATACAATTATAGCGAGGGTATTCCGTTATGGCAAATATATCTCTGACGAACCAAAAGTTTTGTGCATCCGAACACCGATGCTCACTTCCACTGGAAGAGTCCAGAGAGTCAACTTGGGAAGTGTATTAGTGAATTAATTTTATGCCGTGCGTATTGGCAATTATTAATCCTAAGCATGACGGTTGTGTTCTGTTGGCTTTTGCTTTGTAGCTCGAAAGGAATGTGAAGTCGAAATATCGTGTTATTCATATATATATATATATTATATATATATATATATATATATATATATATATATATATATATATATATATATATATATATATATATATATATATATATATATATATATATATATATATATATATGTATATATTTGCTTCGTTAGCTATTACGTGTGGGCGGCTACGGCGCCTGTATTCAGATTCAGAAATCGCTCACACAATAAAATATTTCGTAAGACCGAATTCCAGGCAATGCTGATGCTGCACATGGCGGAGACAGCGGGTCCTTTTCCTCATTACTCTTCGGGATCTTCGTGGCAATCTCACAACGCTGACATAGAGGCCGTCGGGAGCGTCAGAGTCCTTCTAGTGCACCGACCTACCTGATAAATCCTATCTTCTTTCTAATCAGCAGCGTAGGAAAACTCAAGATGAGCGACGACGCAAGTGTGCCACGTCAGCCTTTCAAGACTCGATAACTCCGCCGCGCTGTAAACATCTCGGTTTTCTCGTTGAAAACCGCCATCCATCAGCGCATCTACTTTCGGACCAGTTTCTACGGGACACTACGCAGACTCAAGGCCCCAGGCCCCAGAATGTTCATTTGATGAACATTGTTTGAGAAACGCTATAGAAACGGTACGACGCTTTTCATTGGGAAGCTGCATAACTACAAATTAGTGACTGGTGTTGCGACACAAATATAGTTGACTCATAATTTTCAGGATCTTCAGCCTCCCGCATTTAGCATTATGATTTATGAAGCGGACACATTTTGTTTTTATTCTGTAAGGTGTGCCATATATGCTTTAGCAGTAACTCGGGCTCAGCATGCGACACGGCGAAACGAAGAAGGCGATTGTGGGGTGGTGGTTACCCCACAGGTGATAGGTGCACTATCATCTGATGCTGAATATTACGGGACAAATGCGAAAGAGACGGGTAGCATGTTATTTGGTAATAATAACCTTGCCTACGCTGACGCAACTTCCCATACACTAAAATACACTAATTGTTGGGGTTTTACGTTTCGTAACCACGATATGATCAAGAGAGTCGCCGTAAAGGAAAGTTCTGGAAAGTTCGACAACTTCGGGCTTTTTAACGTGCGCCCAAATCTAAGCATGAGAGCGCCAAGCGTATCTTCTCGATCGAAATGCGGCCACGGTAGCCGGGATTTTGCGCTAATATAAATTAAGTTAAAGCTCTTTGCCAAGGTCACATGCATACTATAGAGTGCGTGTGTTTGCTTAAATACAGATAGTTAGTAGTGCATAGGTATTAGAAAAACACCGCAAGAGAGGTAGCGAGATAGAGGGAGAAAAAGGAAACGAAAAATAGACAAGATAGTCATCAATACTTACGGGAACATTTCTCCGTTCCAGTTAACGGCGCAGACACAGCGGTGACCGTAAAAGATGGCAGAGGAGGGACTCCATTGTTTCTGGTATCTTACGTTATATCGTATCGATCGGGGAAATGCGGTGGGAGAAAAACATTGCGCAAATGGCACGCTTGGACGCATGCGTCGGCCCAGTACGCTTCCATTAATTTTAAACTTAATGTACAGGGGGGGGGGGGGTGGAAAGAAGCGCGAACCACGCGGCGCGCTGTTTACATCACGCCCTGGCCTTGGTAGAAATAAAAAGAGGATGCTTGTATAGTTGTTGATTGCATGACTCTAGTAGCCCTTTAATTACCATTCTGACAACAAGCACTTCTAAAGAAATACGAAACAGCAGAGAAGGTGGATGCCTCACTGTTCGCGTTCCTTTCCAAGCATTCCCTCTCTGTACATCGGCCAGTATATATATATCGCACTGATACCTGCAGTAACATGATAATAGTTTTAATACTATTCATACTTCAGTATTTTTAATAGGATAAATTTCTTACAAGCGGAGAGCCTCTTAGGTGCGTCACTCATGCATTGCAGGTATCAGTGACATGACTTCCAGATAAGTTGAGGGATCAGACGTTTTTTTTTCTAAGGGCATTTTCAAGGACGCAGAATTCATTCATTCGATCATTCGTTCATTCATTCATTCATTTTATTACCTCAAAAGTCCCAGTTGGGATATTACACGAGGGAAAAAGCGATAGAAAGTCTAATAATACAAGGGTAGTAATAATGGGATGGGACGCTGTGGCCCCTGAAACTGCTTGCAAGGAAACCTGACGTTCAGCGACTTCTTCCTCTTTGAATGGGCCAAGAAGGGAGTTTATCACACAATACCACAAATGCTTGATCAATACGAAAAACGAATTCATAAATTTTTTGCAAACCCACCTCAGAAATATCTGCAGGAGTCTGTCGCAGACACCTTCAATCATTTTCGGAACACTGATGAATAACAACCGTGTTTACTTTAAGTTTCAGAAAAAAAAGATAAATAAATAAATAAAATAAAGACTATGCAATTGTAAGAAAAAAATGCTTGTTGTTTTGTGAAAGTTGATTAAATATTTTAAATAGGGAGTTCCTTACTGACAAACCTGCTCAACTGGTGGTTGTCTTCACTGCAATACAAGTGCAGCATGCCTCTCAATGCGTGCTGAAACTGCCCCACGCATGAAACTACCATGGTAAGAAAAACCATCGTATGTGAACATCGGTGATCTCGAGTTAACTGCATCATGCACCATTTACTTACTCTGAGAACACCAGATCGGGCAAGGAAAGCTATCACAGTATTTCAGCGCGCTGAAATACTGTGATAGGTTTCCAAGTATAGCAGCCGAAAAAAGAAAAATCCACAAGAATGCCAAGTAGATTTCAAACTTTCTTTAGGAGGGGCGCGGCGCATTCGGCACTCCCTACGAAGTACTTTGTGTCGTGGAAGGTGACTATTTGGACGTGTGCAACATTTTTTAGGGATCCGGTTCGTGCTACTACAGTACGCCCGCCGTATGGGACGAGCCACCGTGCCATGTTCCCACATGTCTTCAGAACGAATGAATGAATGAATGAATGAATGAATGAATGAATCAACAGATCAATCAATATAACTTTATTGTCACGAAAATAAAACTCTCTACTTGGCAGCTGATTGAGACAAAAGTCATTGATTTGCTTAAGTCATTGTGTCTTTGAGTACAACGGAGGCGGTCACAGTGCACGAATGACAGGTCCATTTTTTGGGCAGTCTATTAGAAAGCTTAACATAAGTGAAGAATGTTAAAGCAGACAGCGGACAAAAAGATACGCTGTACCGTTTGGCGTCGTAAGACAAGCGTGATAACTTGCAGCCGTTTACAGGCGTGAACAAGGGAGTGTTCGCATCATCAAAAAAGTGTTTTAAATAAGGTTGCGCTCTTCAGCCCATTCATGTTCCACTTTTATCCAACAATTTCGAGCAGCGCAGTAAAAGCTATAACGTCGCGAAAGAAAGAGCTTCTGCGCTGTCCGTCTTTAATCGCCCTCCACACAACGCCTTTCAACCGTGTTGCAGGAAGATGATGAGCGCACAGTGGCTGAGCTCTCTCTCTCCTTGCGTCTAGGGAACACGCAGTCGCATGTAATTACTAATTAGCTGACAAGGACCATAGGCCTGCGCTGCATTTCACAGTTATTGTGACAGCATATACGCTAAGATTTGCTGCTGTAGCATAATATATACAGCTTCCTTCATACATCTACGCACTCTCGGCCACTTGTGTGTGGCATAGGCGACAGCAGCAAGAATGCTAACGATATACGTTACATTAGGCGTCATAATGCTGCTTCAATTAAACGATGTACACTTGAGTATCCATCTTCAAGGCCAATACATGAAGGTGGTGCGTGTGGGAACCATGCTGCGTAATTTTTCAGGGCGGTTGCAGTCCAACGGTGATGCTTCACGTGACAGCATCTCGGTTGTTCTCGGCCCGTGAAGCAGGAACAGGAATTCCCGCAGCAGTTGAAGAACGGTTACGGATACCACTATAACACTGATGCCCTACCCAACCATGACGTGCCAACCAGGTCAAAGCGTTAATCATGCCGCGTTGTTAGTTCACCTCTGGCCAGTCTTACCTTCAGCCTGTCGTCGTCGCAGACCTGCAGATCTCGGGGCATCCCTGTAGTCGGTGGTAGCTCCCAGATGGTTTGCGCGTAGTTCATGTGTTTCTCTTTTGTATCTTTCTTTGTGAAAAGGAAATTGTTACGTCTTCTTATTAATGTACATTGTGGAGGTTCATTTTTGTTGCAACTACATGGGGGCTCGTTTGACGTACTATGGTCAAGTACCGTTCAGGCCTGCCCTGAAGACGCATGCTTGAAGCACATGCTCGGACAAGTCGATCGGTTTGCGAAGTCCCGCTTTACAGAGTTTATATGTTGCAAAGGATTGTTTGTATATACGCGCAATATTTAGTGCGTGTTTTTGTAGCATTCTTTGTAAACGAATCCGCGGTATTGTGTTCTTGAGAAGAGTTTGTTTGCGTTTATGTGCAGGAAGGAAACGAGAACATGGTGACGCACCCTTTTCATCACACCCTGACCGTGGTGGAAACAACTAAATGCCAGAATGGTTCGTGACATGCATCGTGGATGACTCTAGTGGCTCCTCATTACCATCCAGGCTACGGCCGCTTAAAAATAAATGCAAATTAAGCAGCACAGAATGTGGACGCTGCACTACTAACGTTTCTTTTCATCCCCACTGTACTGCGTTTGCGTCTTTTTGTGGAGTCTACATAAGCCTGCAAGTACGTGGCGTGTCGCAAGAGTGCTAAACGGGTTAACGCCGCACACATGCTCTCGGAACTAAGGATATATATATATATATATATATATATATATATATATATATATATATATATATATATATATATATATATATATATATATATATATATATATATATATATATATATAATGTGTCTCGTGATTTTCTGTGAAGCTAGTCATATGGTGGTTTTGGGACGTTAAACCCCACATATCAATGTGATTCTTTCAAGCGGTGCAAGTTAATGCACCGCAAAAGTTATCGAATGTTTACGAGGGCGGTGTGTGCAGCCCAGATGCATGTACTAGTGACTTTTCTGCGACCAGCAAACACGCACCTCATCAGTTTTTCTTGTTTGCGTTTTGCGTTGTTTGTTAGGCTAAATACGATGACACAAGTGTTAAACCAACTACGCTGTTTGGTGACCATGTAGCCATGATTGTAATTCCTTTCCCGTGACCACGCTGTTATGACTAAACGTGATTCAAAGGTCTTTAAAATACAGGGTTTTTTGTCTCTCATGCCTAAAACTTGCTTTTTCGTCTCGTGGTGAAAACTCTTATTATCGGTGGATGCACAGGTTTCGAAATTATTTACTAAGCTGAACCATCCTGACCATGTGCAATATAAAAAAAGTAAATTTTTACGCCATTTGCAATCAAGATAAGAGAAGGGTCCAAACTATTGATGCTCAGCAGGGCTAACACTGCTTTGTTGTGAATGTAGTGGTAGCGATCATTGGTAGCAAAGACACCAGCCAGGGCTGTCAGATGCTTTGAGCTAGGACTCCCACTGCATACACATATTAAAGGACTCTGTGTCGTCATTTTGTTCTCGCGCTATATCGTCATGTCATGTCATACCAACTAGCCTAAGCTGCCAAACTTCTTCGCATAGCGTCGCACTGGTTCGCAAACCCTGACGAAGACCGGTCCACCAATCAAACCGTTGGAAATAAAATTAAGACAACCACTCAGTTGTGTCTCATTCTCTCTCTCTATTATATAGACGTCAGGCTCGTCATCAAGGGCTACTGAAGTCTCATCTCATCCTCGAACGGGATGATATGTTTGGAGAGCTAGGGCCTCGATTATGTAGCAATGCCTTTCCCAATGCCATCCTTGTCACGCTTCGTCAGCAATCGCGGTTGCGATATGTCCATTTTATCAATAACAGCTGACAATTAACGGTGATCGAACGATAAGAACGGCATAGCATCAAGCCGCATGCATTGCAAGAATACCGAGGCCATGGACTTATCTGCAGTATTTTAAGAACGGGAGATGCCATGCTGGCACAACTTCATATACTGCCCATACGCGGCAACGTAAACATTTGCGGAATGCTGTTGCATTACATCAATCAGCACTCTTTGCTGTCTAGTTTTTCGTCCAAAGTTGATATTACTGAAGATAACCCCCCTACCGATGAGGAGATTCTACCTATATAAGGGAAGCCTCCTAAATCACATCATCCAAGAGCTTTTGTACTAAAAAGTCCATCGCTCCCATAAAACACCCCCTGAGGCGCAAGTTATACGTCAGAAATAAATAAATAAGTAGACAAAAACGCACACCAGTCGGAGGAGTTCACAGATTCAGGAAGTTTTCAAAAACCGCGACGCGTTTATTCAATAGCGAGGAGAAAATGCACGCCACTCGGAACAGTAACTTGAGATGGACGAGTTCGCCCTCTAAGACAGTCGCGCCACCGTTTAGCAGCTGCAAGAAAACTCTAAAAGATTCCGATGTGCGTCGAAAAGTTCTTCAGTGAATAAAAGGAACGATGGCCAATTGTCTAACATCTTGAATATTCCATTCACGACGGCGACTAACGAATTTCCGACACAAACACGAACCGACAATGCCCAACTAAGCCGATTGTGCTCAATGAGCGCGAAATTGATGCAGGATAGCGCGGGTCTTCAACCGCTGAGCTTATTACAGGTTATTATTCTTAACAGTAACATTTTAATTGCCAGTGGCCTCATTCACATAAACAAGTTTTTTTTCTGAAGCCAAACGAGAGTGGTAACGTAAAACTTCGGTAAAGACCGCGCTTCATCACAAGCTCTTAGACGGAACACATCTGCCAGGCGTAAGCGGGGAAATGTACCTTCAGCTTTTCCTGCAGTCTGCTTCGGCACACAATAGCAACGTGTACTTCAGCCTTCCGCGGCCGGTAGGCTATACATCTCTCCATAAGCGCTAACTGGGAACGGGTCACTCACTGAAAACGTCTTACTGGTTCCTCGACCAGGCTTTCTACAACGAGTTAACGAGTTACATGCATTATTTGGCTCCTAGAATTTCTGAACAATACAGTTTTTTTTTTTTGGATTCAAGACTACATGCAAGCGGACGTTCTTCTTAACACCGAGTGTACATAACCGCCCGCTTTTCTCCACGTCGGGCTGGAGGAGTTTCATACATGCTCTTTGTCATTCCTGTTATTGTGACTACTTTTACAACAGTGTAATAGTATATCAATAAATTATTAGATAGTATCAAATCATCACGTAGAAAGAGTCCTGGTGCACTCTCCTAACCTTGGAACCCTCTTCTGTACATCCTTCACGATGTAATCGTACGATGCAAAACAAGCAAAAGCCACGTAACGCTGGCTAAGCGTAGTAGTTAACCATGAAAGCGAGAGTGGGCGACGATTGCGACGCAATTGTGGTACACGCCGACGAAACGTCGAAAAGTTGTGCGCGCTACTACGCAGTACGTACCGCATCAGCTTGCCGACAGCGAATGATGCGTAGGAACGTCGAATGACGGGCAAAAAAAAAAAAAAGAAGAATGAGAAACGGGCCCCCTAAGCGACGTGTAATGGGGGTTTCTGCGGCGTATACATGCATGCCTATTACGTGCGCACCACTGCCCCGGAGCGAAGGGCGGAACGGCTCGACAGTCGTCGTGTTTATCTTTCCCAACAGCCTCTGGAATTCCTCCGCGAGACGCGCCTATATACCCCCGTGGACTGTCGTAATTGCGCGTATATGCGTGTGCGCGCGGTTCCCTCGTATAGAGAGGCACCTCCGCGGTTCCCTTCTGCTCACGTGAATGCGCGGCGCAGGGCGGGCTCTGCCGATGCTGCTGCCACTTAATTTGGCCAGCGGGAGTCCCCTAACACGATTTGGCGTTTCTTCCGCTCGGCGCTGACGAGGGCCACGCGAACTAAATATACTTCGTGCCACTCTCTCACACACACAAAAAGTGAGAGAGGGAGAAAGAGAGAGTAAACTGCGCTTACGTTGTGTTGTTTTTCTCCCAGACTTTCTTTCGCTCTAATTTGTTTCTTTCGTCTTTTTGCATCATAGCTAATGATCGCAGAACAGAGTAGAATCAAGCAATGACAGCCTATATACGCTTGATGAAATGGCGCTGGCCCGAGAGACTGCTCTGTTTGACGGGGAATGACGCTCAGGGGATAGGAACGAAAGCTGTTTGTGCAAATTACGTTGACGCTATTACAAAGACAAATACTTGCACGCTTTTTCGCCTCGCTGTGGTGGTCTAGTGGCCACGGTACTCGGCTGCTAACCAGCAAGTCGCAGGATCGAGCCCCGGCTGCGGCGGCTGCATTTTCCATGGAGGCGAAAATGCTGTAGGCCCATGTGCTCAGATTTGGGTGCACGTTAAAGAACCCCATGTGGTCCAAATTTCCGGTGCTCTCCGCTACGACATCTCTCATAATCATACCGTGGTTTTGGATGTTAAACCCAGATATTATTATTATTATTATTATTATTATTATTATTATTATTATTATTATTATTATTATTATTATTATTAATGACCACCAGAGAGTGAAGCCCCGCCGCGGTGTTCTATAGTGAAAGGTACTCGGCTGCTGACCCGCAGTCCGCGGGATCGAATCCTGGTTGCGGCGGCTGCATTTTCGTGAACGGCAAGTCAGTGTGCACTATTCGTTAATTTCTCAGTTGACATCTGGCCGCGAATTCATGGAATTCTTTTTGCGCACTGCATTTGTTTGATTTTTCTCTCTCTGTATCTCTTTGGCGCCAATCTGTTTACAGTATACATCGGGCTGCGGCGTTCAATTTCGATTTTTTTCTAGTCTAATGTTATATGTGTATTTAAGTTACGAGACGCATTCCTGCCATTTACACAAAAGCCATCGTCTCATTGCTCTTTGTGCTGCTGCAGCTTGATTGAAGTAATTTTCGGAGACATGTTTTATAGTACGATAATCACCGGTGTTAAAGAAGCCTAACCAGCTGTAGAAACAATCACGCGCCTGCACAATATGAACCGAACTGCCAACTTTTAAAGCCTAAAATCCAATATGCCGTCGCCATCAGCATAAACATTTTCTTTTTGTTTTTGTGATCGGTTGTCTTGATATAAAGGTGAGGGACCCGAGAGAGTTCAAATGCCATCATCACTTCGCACGACAGCTGTGTGCATACGTCTCTGCCGTGAATGTCCAAGTCGATGAAGGCCAGGTATTTGTCGTAGAATGAACAACTGCATTCTGCGTATCTGCGATAGCGACGCATCAACCTGTCATGTTGCGTTGAAGGACGGGCCACGGTATTTATCGGTCCATGCGTCTAAGACCAACTGAGGCCACGTCGCATTGATTCAGTATTTTGGCACTCGCACTCTTCACACCTTAACCATGCAAAAAAAAAAAAAAGAGCTGCGGTTGTCTCATCAGATAGTCTATATCGAAGCTCTACCACGTCTATCAACAGAGAACGGGGCTCCTTGTTTGTGTGTTCGTGTGTGTGTGTGTGTTTGTGTGTGTGTGTGTGGTGTGTGTGTGAGAGTGTGTGTGTGGTGTGTGTGTGTGCGTGTGTGTGTGCGGTGTGTGTGTGTGTGTCTGTGTGTGTGTGTGTAGACATATTATCACACTAAGGCATGGTACGGTAAACTTTGGTGAGG